ATTATCAACAAAAGATACGTCCTTACTTAAACAGGTGGGACAACCAAGTGAGACACAAGGCATGGATAGTTATATTATCAACAGAAGATACGTCCTTACTTAAACAGGTGGGACAACCAAGTGAGACATAAGGCATGGATAGTTATATTATCAACAGAAGATATGTCCTTACTTAAACAGAAGGATAACCAAGTGAGACACAAGGCATGGATAGTTATATTATCAACAGAAGATACGTCCTTACTTAAACAGAAAGACAACCAAGTGAGACACAAGACATGGATAATTATATTATCAACAGAAGATATGTCCTTACTTAAACAGAAGGATAACCAAGTGAGACACAAGACATGGATAGTTATATTATCAACAGAAGATATGTCCTTACTTAAACAGGACACAAGACATGGATAGTTATATTCTCAACAGAAGATATGCCCTTACTAAAACAGAAGGATAACCAAGTGAAACACAAGACATGGATAGTTATATTATCAACAGAAGATATGTCCTTACTAAAACAGAAGGATAACCAAGTGTGACACAAGACATGGATAATTATATTATCAAAGAATTATATGTCCTTAGAAAATATAACTGTTATCCAAACAAAAGGGATTGGTATTGTTTTATGTGTTATATCCCCAGGCTCCCACATGTTATCCAAACAAAAGGGATTGGTGTTGTTTTATATGATATATCCCCAGGCTCTCACGTGTTATCCAAACAAAAGGAATTGGTATTGTTTTATATGATATATCCCCAGGCTCTCACGTGTTATCCAAACAAAAGGGATTGGTATTGTTTGATATATCCCCAGGCTCCCACATGTTATCCAAACAAAAGGGATTGGTATTGTTTTATATGATATATCCCCAGGCTCTCACGTGTTATCCAAACAAAAGGGATTGGTATTGTTTTATATGATATATCCCCAGGATCTCACGTGTTATCCAAACAAAAGGGATTGGTATTGTTTTATATGATATATCCCCAGGCTCTCACATGTTATCCAAACAAAAGGGATTGGTATTGTTTTATATGATATATCCCCAGGCTCTCACATGTTATCCAAACAAAATGGGATTGGTATTGTTTTATATGATATATCCTCAGGCTCTCACACCCTTTTGTTTGGATAACATGTGAGAGCCTGGGGATATATCATATAAAACAATACCAATCCATTTTGTTTTGGATAACAATTGGTATTGTTTTATATATGATATATCCCCAGGCTCTCACATGTTATCCAAAACAAAAGGGAATTCTCAATAGCCACAGGCCCTTGAAATCCTTTTAGGCAGGATTAGAGTAAATTAATCTACGAGACCTTATTTTCCTTTTATTAGCTATATTTTTGTGCACAAGCAGTACCAAGTGTGGGACCCACGTATACCCGATTCAATTTTATTACTCATCAAGACTTCTACTAGCCTACTCTCAAATTGAACTTCTTTTACGCAGGATTAGAGTAAATTAATGAGATAGAGCTTTGAGCTAAAAGTTCGTACTTGAAAAACAAAAACAAAAAATTGATTAAAAACTACTAAAAAATAAAATATGAATTTTGATGTGAAATTTTGCTTCACACAAACAAGAAAACTAGGCCACATTTTTGTATTTCACAAATTTTTTGACAAATGCACTTCAGGATCTTTGTATCAAATTACATGTAAAGACTGTGATAATACTTACATTGGCTAAATCGGTCAACAAGTAAGTGTCTACAAGAATATTTAAAAGTATGTGTTTGAACAAGTGGCTCAAAATAAACACTCTTTTGTTTTTTCAAAAGTTAAAATCACAGCCAGAGAAAATAACATAAATAAAAGAAGCTCTCTTCATTAAAAAGAAAACCTAGCATTAACCAGTGTTCAGTTGTAAAAATATATTTATGTTAAATTTTCCATGTCTTGTATTTGATTTATTTTTTATTTACTCTGTTCTCTTGCGATGTTTTACTGCTCTTGATACAACAACACGTAACGGTTTTTTATCCACCTGACAATGCTAGTTAAATCTAATGAAACGTAGTGTTTTTTTTAAACTAAAAAGGTTTTAACAGACATGTTTCTTGTTTTATCCATAAACAAAACTTTAACTTTCACGTTACAAGTTCTTCCTTTAATTGAACCTTTATCTCCGATACAAATTATATTCCTGAAATAATTTGAAGAGAACCCCACGTTATACTAAAGTAAAGGGAATAAATTAGTAAAAACCATAGTACACCATATCAAACATTTCCAAACTGGGGAGGGAGTTTTTCACTTTTATTATTCTTTCTTACAATGGGAATATTCGATTTTATAAAACATAAAAACACTTACCAAACAATATCTATTTTTTGTCATTAAAAACTCCATATAATTTGATTTAGCTTCTCTATAATTTTTTGTGTTGTGAAATTCTCAAACTTTTGATATGACACACAATTTTCAAAAAAACAACAACTTTATTTTGATTTTAGAATTGCAATCTTTTTTAATGTTGACCAGACAGTTCCATTATATATATATATATATATAAATAGTTTCAACTTGATTTACATTTATTAGCATATATATATATATGTTGATACTTTATTTTGCATACTGCAGTAGCCACCACTTCTAGCTATAAATCACAGTCTCACAACGAGACCTGTTATTAGTGGTGTCGGGTTTCTTGGTCAAAATCAATTTATATCTTAACATACACATTTAGTTTTCCCAATAAATTATCAATTCTTTTATCTATGAACATTGTCTAAACACAATAAAATAAACAATATTCAGTGAACGCATATTTGAGTCACTGGAATATCTTTACCATTGCCTATCTTAGTCTCTAAACCTAATAAGGCTTGTCTCTAAACCTAATAAGGCTTACCTGAAGTCATATCATAGATGAAAAGTTTTATATCTTTTAAACAAATATAACTTAACATAAAAACATTTCCAGGAACAAAAAGCACACCTAAAGAAATTAGAAAAAAATTCTCAGATCTGTGGTTTGTCCCTAAATATTCTAAACTTCCTACTACACATATACAGTTAAAAGGAGTACAGTGCTAAACTAATTAAACAATAAATAACTTATTAAAACAGGAACCAGCTCTGAAATGACTATATGTTTCAGTGTTCTTATGCCACCATCTTAGAGTAAAGGTAAAGTTATATAACTACATAATCATTTAACACCATCTAAACTTAAATCACCCAGAGTTTAGAAAACCGGTATTTTATTTCTTCTAAACCTGGACCTACTTCCTTGTTCACAACAATATCTTTGTTTTTTTTCAATTGAAAAACACATAAACTAATCAATTAAATGAAATTAGTGTTTCTAATTACTGCTATTACCAATATTGACAAGCTAGTATATAAAATCAGAAGGTCTTATATTTTCTATTTGCTAAGATATTGCTCACGTAATAAATCAAACACAAGGGCACCCCCACCCACCTCTTTCTATTTTTGAAAACATTCCCTTATATTCACTTACATCTATATATGACATGAATAACCAATCGAACGCTCAAATGTCTCCCTAGTGGTTTTCTCAGCCATTTTAAATTCTTAGGGTGCCATCTCGTTCTTTCGAACCGAAATTTCAAGGAGACAGGTTGGACACCATTTCTTTCTTTTGAACCAATATTTCGAAGAAGTAGGTTGTGTCTTTAGTCT